AACGTACCGGCGGCTTGGGAGATGTGCGTTTGGAACAGGCCCAATAGAAGTGCCGTGAAGGCAACAAATCCAGGCCTTCGTCTCAGAGCCATCTTCACTATAGCCGTTTATGTTTGCAAGAGTCTACCGAGAAGAAGCGGATGAAGCTGGTTCAGCATAGCGTGTGTGCCGACAGCTATTGCTCATCCCTTGATGTCCGCTGGGCAGCAACTCTGTAGGACGCCAAAGCACCTAACACGCGAAGAGTTGCCCCATTGATGCCCCAGATGGCGAAGCCAAATAAATTTTAATTTTTCAGTGAGGAATGGTTTTGATCTGGAGGAGATGCTTTATCCTATGAAAAGGCTGCTATCGGAGACTGCCGCCAGCTGGCTTCCTGTGGCTCCTGTCCATGAGAACGTGACCCAGGCGGGCTTGTCTGGAGACAATTTAATAAAAAATGAGCTCTCTTTGACGAGAAAATTAGAATTCGTAATTAAATTTATGCTTTAAGTGAGCTGTTGGAGCTGCAGCAGCCACGAGCTTTGCCTGGTGTCCTGCAAATGTCGGCTCCAGAGGGATTGAAATTGGATTAGCACTGTATGCTTTGCCACACCCTCATGATTTGAAACGGCCATGCATTTTCTTCCGGTCCAGATTACTTTGCTCTTCAATGCATTACTAAGCTAGCCGGTCTATTTTTAACTGTCGAAAGTGCATGGTTCGTTGAACAGGGATGCTTGCGCTGTTCCGCTCCACACCATCATATGAAAGCAATGCCATCATATGAAAGCAATATGTGCTCAGCTGAGTTTCCTACTCGGGTAATACTGAGTTAAATACAAGCTAGAAGGTGAATGCAATGATTAAATGAGGGAGGTGTGTTCTAGCGGGGTATTCCAAGAAAGGCTTTCCTTTGGGCTTTAATAAGATGGAAAATTCTGGGCGACGACCGACTGTTGAAGCTAAATCTAGCGTTTTGCCCTGCTGCACATTTATATGTTGGGGATAACTTGTAACCAAAAAGCCAGAGACAAAGCTAAGTAGCTACGAGACTGAAAACGTTCGTTCGTATGTGTGTGGGCGATGACAAAAAGAGTTTTGTGCAGCCCATAACCCATATATATATCAGACCTTTCTGAAAAATAGCAGAGCCTATAAACCTAAGTGCAACGTAGTTGGGTCCGAGCGCCGACAGACTTTGGGGACCTTCTGCGCGCTTGAGCAAGGGAGCGACTCCAGTTACGAAAACCATTGTAGCATAACGTCGAAAATGCCAAGGGTGCAGCATATAGCTATATAAGGCGAAGGTTGGTGCCTAAGTTAAAAGTTGAAAAAGGTTTTCGTGTTTGCTCATTACAGGCGTAATGAGAGAAAGCCGTCAACGATAAATCTATGAAGAGGATCCTCAGTGGGGCCCAAAATGGATTCCTTTTGTAAATCATTGTTGAACAGGCGTTGGCTGTACAAACTTTTTGCTTGGAGCAGTGTCGTAAAGCGACCGAAGAATCGCTTGATGCGGAATGCTTGGGGAGTCCACCGTTGATGCAGGAGTCGTGAAGGTGTTCACGACGCCTGTATCTCAAGGTGAGCTACTGAAAAGGGTTTAGACCAGGATTTGAAAAGTGTAATAATTTTGGGCAGCTGGTTACCTAATTTTATTGCCTGGGGCCGTGGTTGAGTTCTCGAGTCGCCTTTGGATGATGGTGTTGCCGCTTTCTTTGCTCCACCATATACAATTGTTTGCGTGCCTGCTTCCAGTGAACGTTACCATTGAACAAGGATGTGTACTTATACTACGGCATACATGGGAAGTTGTGTTTATTTCTGCGGTTTCAAATTTGTCAGAGAAACCAGCCGGGCTTGTCCAACCGTTACTCAACCCGTGTCGCCGCTGGAGTCATATCAGTGTATGTTTACTCACCGACCTGCCAAGCAGTGCTCTATGCCTCGACTCTACTTGATATGATGGTAGATTCTTTAAGCAAAGTGGCCTCCTTAATTCCAAGAGCGATGCTGCTGACAGGAAGTGGCGCCCATGAGCCGCTTGCGGGCGGTCATACTCGCTATCAAGGCATCCCTTACATATTATCTTCCACCGGAACCCTCCATTCCAGTGTGACATGTGGCACCAATTGTGCAGCCAATTCAGCATCAACTGAGCAATACGTTCTGTCTACGTTTTTCAGAGCAACTGATAAATTGAATGCATCAATCACAAGTTGGAACAAGTGCTCCGCACATATATTCAGTTAGATAAGCAGAACTGGGGGCATATCTTCCAGCCAGCGAAGTAGTGTAGTACTCGGCTAACTCTGATGGTCGTACTACCTATGTTTCAGCCTGTATCTAATGATGCTTATGAACAGATAAGCTCTAAGACCCGATTCTCTTCTTCAAATTCTCCGAAAAAGAGTCAAAAAATCCCAAATTATGTCCCTCAACGTTTGAGTAATCAAAAGGGGAGCTCCGGAATAGATCTGAATATCTAAGCGCCTTCCGATGGGTCAGCGCGCTTGCCACATCTCGCCTGGGCCAGCGCTGGACCTAGGGCACCCACTAGGGGTGCTGCAGCCCTCATGTAACTTAGCTAACTTTAACAAGCCTCTTACTCTGTCCTATCATTGACCTCTTACAACCACACGGAGGACCCATTGTAGTGCCCGTGCATTACGAGTAGCCTGCAAACCAACAAATCATTCTTTAATTATATGAGGATTTTACGAACTGAAGCTCTAGTGCACGCCAGTGCAGTGTGTTCAAGAAATTGCCTCCAAGGTCATAGAATTAATGTAAAGAGACGAAGTGATTATGCAAGAGCACTTGGTCCTTTGGTGATCAGGCCCAATCAAGCGTGCAAAGATATGCTTAAAGAGTGAGCACTCTTAATGCCGCTGCTCTCTTTCTTTCACTGTATATCCGTCATGCTTGCTCTAGAGCCACCACCCATTGACACCACCATCCTAGTATCGCGGTTTCTTTCACTGTATATCCGTCATGCTTGCTCTAGAGCCACCACCCATTGATACCACCATCCTAGTATCGCGGACTCCCGAGCACGGGAGTCCGCAGTACGATAATGCAGGGCTCCTTTTGAAACCGCATCGGCTGTTTGTTCCAAAACACTTTTCAGGCAAGCACGCTGGCCTGCATGCACATCCGCATAATGCATACTAGACCAAAGCTGTAATGAGTGGCACCACAAGATTGTCCCAGTACAGCTCCATGAGCCTGCACCATTTATTATCCTACAAATGGAACATTGTTAAAAATTATATAGCTAGAAAAACTTAGCTTTTGCCGCAGACTTAGCCCAGGTTCTTTGGCTGGAAAGATAGGAACTGGATAGCTGTGTAGCCGGTGCAGCGTGCGGGGGATACGGCTGACAGTGGAGCCGCACCGTTCATCTCAGAAGTAACACACATGAATTTGCATACCAAAACACCAGTGCTGTCCGAAGTGGCGCATTGGTTGAATTGACGATTTTTCGAGCCACTAGTTCTTCTAGGGTAGCGAAGAGCCCTTGACCATAATAAGTTCGCTAGTGGACTTTGTAAATCTTCTTTCACTAAAATTCTGTCCGATTTTGCTGCCTTGAATTTTTCTTAAGCACTATTTCAATGAATAACAGCTGTTCACAGGGATTTTCTCAATTATGTGCATCCCGTCGCCCGTTCGCGTTACTGATTTGGCGCGTTTCTTCTGTCCTTGAAAACAGCCATCGCAACCACATTACTATTATATATGGACCCAATATACAATAAGCCTTTCTAGTAGCAGCGATCAGAGCATACACTCAGAGTATTCTCGGTCACTTGCCCTCTTGGCAGAGGGGAGCACGCCAAAACTAGCCCCATTTGACTTGGCTACGTCCCCCCGTATGAATATACCCGTTACATGCAGCGTCAGATCTTCTCTCAATCAACTGCCTTTTGGCACTAAAAATGTTGCGAAAAGCTTTTGTCCTCCAGTTGCTCACACGAAGTCGCGTACAATCAGTGTCGGATCATATCAGAGTTAAGGTGGTTTTCACGAGCGTCACCGGTTAACCAAGCACCCGCAGCTGTGTTACAAATCGTTGGCGTTGTTACATTGTTACAGTCTGCACTATGGATAGGATACGGCTATCTTCAAAGCCATATCTTCTAGCAGAAGGCACCTTGTGGCCCTTCCCGTTGCCCGTTTGTATGCGAGTAGATCTCCAAAGACCTTCAAGCTCTAGCAAAGTGTATTGCATAGTTTTAACTATTGTTTAATACTGTAGAAAATGAGAGAATCACAATATCCCAACGTTTAAGCCCTAGTTCGCTAGCTATCCTTGTGCCACAGTACCCCAACGTTGAAGCCCTAGTTCCCCAGCTATCCTTGTGCCACAGCAGGCCAGCGGGACCTTCAGCGCTAGCCCCTGCGTCCATACGCCGCCTAGATGCCGTTATGACCGAGAAAAAGGTCTCAATATCGATTTTTTCCACTGAGAAGCACGCAGCATTCGTTCATTTGGGGGCTAAAGAATAGAGACTCAGTCCAATGTGACCGCGCTCCTACCTGCTTGCTCAGGGCTATTCCAACTGTGTTTATACACAGGAGGAGCTACTTTACGCTTGACCAAAATATTTGTGAGAAAAGCGAGCCAAAAGTGTCGTCACACAGCACCCGAGACACTTTATGTAGAAGATGCTATAGTGGAACTGCATCATGCGAATGGCGGAGTCGCCTCTACCACTAATATTACCAGAGCTCAGCCGCCCTTTCGTAGTCGGCACATGTAGCGATATGACTTCAGTCTTAGAACAAAATGCTAATTTGCAGTTATTGCAGAATTTCATGCCAACATACCACAATGAAGCGGAAGGCAAAAATTAAAAGGGCTGCATGCTCATAGGTAAACTAGGGCACCACTGGCGTGGCTTGCGTTTCGTTGTTTTCTAATTGCGTTTTGACGAGAATGTTTCGTGGAGAGTTCATTTGTCATAAATATCGTTTTTCGCAGTAGACACCCTCCTACTGGTTGTGGTGCCGTGATGGGGAAAAACAGGGGCTTCAAGCCCCAGGGCCTCCAGTTAAATCCCATAAAACGCGTTGCAAGTGGCGGGTGAGCACTAAATGACTATATGTACATATTCTTCACATCAACCAAACCACGAGCAGCCCCAAAGTTGCCCAGCTTCCTTGCTTCCGATGGTGACTAGTCCACGGCTCTATCTGTATTCTTTCTCTTGGCCGTTGCCGCAGAGCAGGTAGCGGGCCTAGCCCAAAGGGTCAGTAGAGGTGGGGTTCAATATCCACGCAGGAAACAATCTGACAAATTGCTAACATTCACCTTCGGGTGTACGAACATGTGGAGCAGCCCACGCGTTTGAGAAACCTACGCGTGCTTACTACTCCTGGAGATGGCTTCAGGGACGCTACGAGTCATTTACATGTGCCATTTGGTCAAGCTGACCATGTGGATATCTCGTGGCACCACTGTGTTTTGTTCAGGCCTTCGCTTCTTGAGAAACTAGGAAGAAATTCGCGGCCAACATGGGACCAGCTGCACAAGATGCTGAAGAAGAAGGAAGCATCGAATAGCGAGTTCCTCGAAAAGTATGAAAATGAATGCTTCAGTAGAGAACTACAGGTACGTCACGTATTGTTGGATCTGGGATGTTACATTGCCCGCTGACAGCATCTCAGTTGCTTCGTATGATTTCGTAGATGAGGCCCCCAAGTGCTGCGGGCGAGGCTGTGCGGAACGACTCTGAACCCAGGAATTGATTTGTACACCTAAGAATTTCCACGGCTCTGTCTGCGTAGAATTTTCGGAATGCGAAGATTGAAGAACAGGAGCGGCAGCACTTGGAAGCAGTAAAGAAGGAGGCTAAGAAGAGACAGCGCCGAGACAGCTCCAGCAGTGACAGCAGTTCAAGCGGTTCGGAAAAATCCCACAAAAAAAAGCGCAAGAGAGAAAAAGACAAGAAAAGGAAGCAGAAGAAGCAAAAGAAAGTAAGGTGCACTTCGCCTTCTCTGATGGGCCAGGCATTTCTGTGCCGATGATAGTACTTCATGCTCCACGTGCCACCTGTGAATGGCTACCTGCAGGCTAAGACGGCAAAGCATTCCGAAGAAAACGCGGCTGAAAGCGTCACCCACAACCCCTTCCGCCTTTCTACTTTTTTCGGGATGGAAAAAGAATAACAAAAAACGGCATCCAATTAATACGTGTACAGGCTAGTATGTAGCTCAGTGAAAGGCCATGCATGTTGGTAACCGCCATACCAGCAGACTTATTTGCTCTATGGCTTGATTTCAAGAGGCTTGTGGATCGGGAGCCAGTGTGAAGGTGCCGCGCTGGTTGGTTAGCAGCTGAACAGCAGATCCCTCAAATGCCCCGTCTGCCAGAGCCTCCTAACAGCGGTGGATGTGCTGCCTAATCTTCAAAACCGGAAACTTCAAGGCTGACCAGCAGGTGTCTTCAAGAAGCGGGTAGTTCGCAATTTTTTGGTAGCTGGTGGCTTTTTCCCCATGCCGCCTAGAGCGGCATGCGTAGCTAGCGGTGTGGAGATGTCAACTATTCTCCTCCCATGACCTGGACGATTACGTAATTTTTGACTCAAACTTGGCCGCTCTTTCAGCTAAAGGATTCTGTACACACGGGCTGCACGACTCGCTGTCCACCAAAACAGTTTCATAGGATGGGGGCACCCCATTTTCGATTGGTTAGGGCACATTTAGACTCATGCATTTTGCCTCTATTCTGGGTGGTGTCATCCTTCCGCTGCACTGCGGAGAGGCCGCCCGCAAATGATGATCAATGACTGGATGCTGCGTAACTCCCTGCTTAACGTGCATCGGAAGGGAGCACACTGCAAAATTTTGCACTGCCATTTTTGAGCTTCCGAGATTGGAGGTGAAGGCATGCAGGTGTGCTTTTAGCGGAGTGTACAGCGCGTGTTGGGGTTGATGGGCACATTGCTGCAGCAGCTGCTGTCTGTGAGTGCGTTGTCTGTTGACGTGGTCCCGAAGCTGTTGCCCTCTTTGAAGCACAGTGCCGCCTGGCGGCATAAACACACGAAGCTGCTGAGCCTCCAAAGCGGTTTGCAAAGTATTACCGTCGCGTACCCGTTGGAGCACATTGGCACGTTGTAGCTTTCCAGAAGGCTGCTCTATGCATTGTTGGCATACTACAGAAGCATCCCGCGGCCCACTTGCAAGGGATGCAGGGCATTGTTGCAACGGCGGCTCTCTCTCCAATCGAGAACCTGGAAGCGGCCGTAAAGGTGTATTAGCTGCACTACCGTGGACCGCATTAACTGGCTGGAGACACTGCGGGCTAGTAGAGCTCTGCTGATCCACTGGTGAATGGTCCTGTTCCTCTATGCAGTCATCAGGTTGGCTGCTAATACTGGCTGTATGCCTTGGCAGGTCTTGTGACAAGCGCTGCAGGGGAGCGAAGGCTGCGCCTTCAGCAGGGGGCTGGCGTCGCACTTCCGTCGTTCGTCCCAGTGGCTCTTTGCCGTCTATTCCTTTTAATGTATCACGCATCCCCTGAAGTTTCCTTAATGCCCATGTGCCGAGCTGTGGTATGGGCGCCAGTTGCGCTAGCCCAGCTGGACTTTCTTCACGAGAAAGACTTTCTTCGTCTGTTGTGGCATGCTTGAGGATGCCGACTAGCTGTTGGTCAACCAGCAACAGCTGGTGTTCAAGATCCTTTGTTCTCTCCTTATTCGCAGTTAGTTCGTTTTGCAATCTCGCTTGCACCTCTTCAGCGCGGACTTTCGCTGCCGCATGCTCGGCAACGAGCAACTGTAAATGAAGCCGTTCTCGATGATAGTTGTCGATTTCTTTCTGAAGTTGCCGTTTCTCAACATCTTCCACAGAAGACGCGTCGGAATTTTTCCTTTTACAGCCTTGCTCCTTTAGCTCCTCTTTCAATTCAGTGACCTGCTGACAGAGGGCGCTGAGCTCCTTCTTATGGTTCTCTTGCTCCTCAGCAGAACGCCGTTCAAGGTGCCGGCACCAATTGTCTCTCGCCTGCACTTGCTGCTGCAGCCCTTCGACGAGCTCTATCAGCTCCTTGACTTGCTGCTTATCCTCGTTACCTCGATAATCATCGTCTTGATGCCTCCCTTGTTCCTGCAAATGGTGCACAACACGAAAAGATTAGGGCAGGCGTGGCAGGAACAAAATAAGGGCACCATAGCTGACACTTCAAATCTCGAAAACACACACGGCCAAAGTATGATATGGTAGAAAGTGGGATTGTATTCACTTCAACACGCTCAGTGTTTCAACTGCTAACAGTTGATGATTCCATTCTCTGTGCACCGTTGGTGGCTTTGAAGCAACGGCCATGTAGAAGTCCACGCAGCCACTCGGCCTCTGCGGTGGTGTCCGCGGGCTTTTTGCCTTGCAGCACGCAGAGCTACCTCTGGCCGTAAAAGCTGAAAGCAAGTATCCTGTCTACCAACCATATAGCAAGCGCAACCGCCACTTGGCTTAACAATTTGACTGTAGGGCCCAAGCGCTGTTCGTCACCATGTAAATTGTATTCAGTTTACCTCGTTTGTTGACCTGCGCAGCAGTTCCTGTTTTGTCTTGAATTGACAATTTATTACATGAGCTCGGAATGCTATCCAACCACGCAGAAGAAGGTAATGATATTGTGCAGTTCCACGGGAATCACCAGGAAAAATAGCTGCCAACCGCAACAATGCTATGGTACGCCGTTGGCGTTGTAGCAGGGCCTTTTGTGCCCAGATCCTTAAAATAAATCTGCGAAGTCAATCAGCGACAGTTGGACGCACAAGGGGTCATCCGCTACAAAACAGGGAGGCAAATGCCGAGAGGAAAAAACTGACACAGAAACGCAAACACAGCAAAAAAGGGGCCTGTGAACTAGATCAAGGCGCATCAACAGACTCATCGGTCCGCTCACTTCCTCGTAAGTGTCTTTTCTCGGCTGGCAGAAGCAGCGGCTAACCACTTGAAAACTTTCGCTCTGGAGGGGATTTTCCGCAAATCATGAGGGTTCTGTATTATTTGCGTGGAACTACCTGATGAAGGGCTTTTTGAATCAACTGGCTTCTCTGAATGAGCACGATGAGTTGTTGGGTCCGGTTGCTCTACTTCTGTAGTCGGGACTGCACGTAAGCTATTATCTCCGGCTGAACGGAAATGCAGGTCTTTACAATTTTCTTTCTGCGATTGTGGTTCAAAGGTATCTCCTCTGAAGGACGAGATGCTTTTCGCGTGATCAGTATGTTTGTGTAGAAACGACTGGCAATTTGAATACGTTTGTTGATGACACTCTTGTTGCGACTGCCGATGGCGCCTCTGGTTTAAAAGCAGCTGAGCACGGGTCATCAGGCAATCAAGTCTTCGAATGCTCGTTGACAAGGTGCTCTTGCGGTCATCCAAGATGGAGCCAAGGCGGGCAGCGCAATCTACCACAGCAGGGCGATTACCCAGCAGACAACTGACTGCAACATGATTTGCGGTAGCTGCTCCAGCTTTGTGGTTTTCCTCTCCACGGACAGAAACGCTGTCATCTGGAGAGACCTCAAACTCACCAGCTTGCTGAGCAAGTTGACGGTCCGTCATTACTGTGGATGGAGAGTCCCTGCGATGCTGATAATCTGATATTTGCTCCAGACCTAGTTCATGTGGCTTCCCACTCAGGAAGCAATCATTTTGCTGTCGGCCAGTATGGTTGGCAGTCCCAACACCACACGTACTCGAAGGCCTTTGGTTGCTCTTCATGCTTAGCCCTGAAAGTAGCTTTTGGGGTTGCTGTAGCTTCCGCGAAACAGAACTGCGTGAGCTTCGATCTCTTTCTCCCCTTGCTGCAGCGGCGATTGCTGATGCAGCCAAAACTGCTGCTACAGAAAGCTCCTGTTGGCGTCGTTGGTGACGTCGCCATTGGCCGTCCTTTGACTGCTGGTTTGATGCAACACTGTCGGTTGATTTAGTGAAATTGGCTGTGCAACGCTGCCCACAGCTTGGTGGCGACAAGTGTTGTGTATCCCGCCTCTCACTCTTCAGTGCGAGAACATCTGAATTATGAGAAGCGATTCCAGGGCTACGTGGTGAATTGTCATCGCAAGGTTGAAGAGCACATGAGTTACGAACCTGTCCTCGCCTGGCAGCGGCTGCCGCTTCATTGCCCAGGCCAGTTCCTGCCCCCAGAGGCTCTCCTTCCCCGCATGGATATTCAACACCGTGAATGCTTTGCTTGCTCACTTCACTTTCTTGACACTGCAGAGGGTTTATTGATCTCTGTAAGGCTGTGGAAGCCACTGAAGGAGCTACTGGGGAAGCCAGTATAGCCTCAGAGGTCTGTACGGAGGACCCGCCGCTATTGTTTAGACGAAATAGCATCACGTTACACCGATTGGCTCCGGTCGTGTTGAAAGTGAGTCCAGCTATGAAAGCTTTCTCCAATAAATCCAGAGAAGTCACTGGGCTTAAGACGGCAGCAAGTTCCCGCTCTCCCTTAGCACAAATTTCGAAATTGAATGTATCATCCTCTTTTGCAGTGGGCGAGGGGATTGTGACAGGGAGCCTGAGCTTGACTTCGTGCTGCTGTTCTGTGATGTGGACGCAGTGTAGAGGGACGTGAAGAACACCAAGCAGATCATCGGGGCTTGGCGGCTCTGTTGAGGGATTCTTTGTTTGGTTGCCGCTTCCGCAGTAATGAGTAGAAATGGCGGAAGTTGCCGAGTTACGGAATACCCCAACAGCCAAAACCTGAAAGACAGAGTAATGAATTCAGCAGCGAATTGGCTAAGGGATGTTCTAATCTTGAGAACTTACTGCATTTGAGATTTTTGCGCGTCGACAAACAGAGAGCTTACAAAGTACGACTTCAGTTCATCGCATTTCCGTGAACGTTCACCATCCCAACCTTCGTCCCCTCCAGTCGCATGCTTTTCAAGCACAGGTACGCCGTCAATGACCAGCGGCCCCTGCCCCCAAGCGCTAGACACAAGCGTTGGCGGCGGCAAAGGGCGAGAGGCACTATCTGATGAACAAAAAGGGGCCTTTTCACGGGCGGAAGAGCCATGAGCCACTTCTTGAGTGAAGTTATATTTGTAGACTGCACAGTATAGAGATGGCATTCCGTAAGAACCTGTGCCGCCACGCCATCTTGCTGGGCCAGTAATCACTCCCCGCATAACGCGCGTTTTGACAGTACCCTCAGAATCCTGCTGAAATGCTGATGAAGAAGGTTGAGGCCGCCCCCTTGCAACGTAGCCATCTATGTGTTGCACTGCGTAACGGAAGTCCTCCAAATGAACGCCCCATTGGCGGCTGTGTGAAGAAGCGCTGCAGCGGTAATGCGGGGTTGATGGACGCAGAGGCGTCGGAGCTGGGGTGTCTCTTGTAAAGCTGAGCGGAGCCTCTGACATTGCCCGCTCAGAACGCAGGCTCGAAGGCAGATGCCGAGCCATTGAGCGATGGGCAGTGGAGTGCTGGGCACCGCAGTGACGAATGAAATCACGATTTAACTTTCATCATACAGCTGGTCTCTCGGTTTCACAGACCAATTACTTTAGCCCCTTTGGTAATTAATGGCGGTGTTCGGTTCCTCTGTGAATTCTACGAGGCAACACACCCGTGACCACTGGGCCAAAAGGCCCAAAGACCAATCCGCAAAAAAACTGTACCCTAGCTGGAGCTTGAAGAATTGCCCTCAAAGCAGTTTGTGTTTGCGCCTTACAGCCTCTTTGTTCCAGGAGACAGTGGTGCTACAAGTTACGCTTCTCAGTCAACACAGCTTCGCAGGGGTGGTTATGAGCAAGCGGAGGAGAACAGGCTGCTGTCCTCATTTGAATGGCCTTCATGAGAAGCAAAAGTCATTCTATATATTGTGGAAACAAGAAGACACACAAAAAGTCTCCTGTGCCCCCATGAACAGTGTGCCTGCAAATGTGCGCCGTTCTGAGGCGGCCTCATGACCATTCGGCCCCTCTGCAGGAAGCGCTGCAGAAAGGAAACGAGAAGTCTTCTAGTTCCACGCCTGCATCAACGTGTAATATTCAACAGCACATCAATACCTGTTGCGTTTTTCTAGCGTAGAACTTCTTTGATGGCCTAGGCTCTCCGACCGCACGCTTGCTCCTGTATGCTGTTCCGGTTACTATCAGATGCTTCAAAGTTTCCAACGCGACAAGGGGACCGGAAGAAGAATGTATATAAAAGGTTATCCTTTCCAGCTGAAAGGGGTTATATGAAGTATTCGGGTTGAGGCTTCAACCATTCTTGTCCCAATTTATTGTCGCGTTTGTGAGAGAGAGAATGAAATAGAGGATCCGCACGGCCTCATCCTCCTTCAAAGCAAGTAACTGAAAGCTCTTGGTAGAACTTGCCCAAGGAAGCATTCACGTACCTGTTTTAACTGTATCTGATGAGAGAAACATCCATTCCAGTATTCATGGTAAAGTGCCGAGGCTTACTGTTCGCCCAGATCAAAATGGACCTTAAAATTCCCGGGAATTTCAAGTGCACATCATACTAAAGCCCTCAATATATTGTCTATTTGCGCACTAAATCATACTTGTCATCACAAAGATTTTTTAGTGCAAGCCAGAACACTGGGGACTCGCAAGAAAATTCATCTCCTCGAGGGCAACTGCATTGTCAGGGCTTGCAGAAGACTACGCTTTGAAGTTCCTCTACGGTACGAGATTCCACAGAGAACTTGAGAAGGCTTGCTGAGTTTCCTTCACGGCCTTCGTCACGGCTCAGGACCCGAGTTCTTGACCTGGGTACTGGTGCTCGATTGAACTAGCGTGTTGTATGGCCCACACCGCCGTTGCATCTCCTTTTGAGGATGTCAAAAAATGATAACTATAGGCAAAACAAGGGAGGATCTATGTTGCTCTTCTTTCCGTTTCGGCACCAATGTGGAAAAAGTACAGCAAAACAGCTAATAAGCACCGGAATTCCAACCCTGAGCAAAATGTACACACCTTTGAAGACAAACTACCCAGCTTACCTACCAATAATATATGAAAGAATGCCCGAAAAAGCAAACAAGACAGCTTGGATAATTCCATGAGACTGAAGAAAACAACTACCATGTCGTACTTCTCATCGCATTGCAGTCGCACACCCACTTTTTTTCACCGTGCAACAAGATCTACACCAGGGAAGGATTACATAATTCTTCAAACGAACCAGACTCACCAATGTCACCGATGCCTTCTAGTTGCCTTCTACCAACAATATCCAGGTAAATGCAGCCCCTGTACTGCTGCAGTTGGGGGCTATCATATGGCATTCGGAAAACTAAGCATAGCAACATCGCAAAACAGGAAAGGATCTAATTGCGAAAACAGCAGCTGTTTTAGTTTTGTGCGCACTTCAGGACCAAACTGTTGCTTCTTATCGTAGAACCAGCTGGCGCAAGCAGCATGCTTGGAAATGTACCGAGAGGGATCTCGTCATACCGGAAGATAAATTAATCGAATATTTTCAATAATACAAGCTCCTCAAGAGCTTGTCGATGAAGCAAAAGTATTATATTCGTCGACAAGTGTGAACCATTGCGGGTGACGCTGGACGTTGATTCGATGACGCTGTAGGAGACAATCCGGGTTGTACTGTGGTTGTGTAGTGTTCAGCATTAGTCACCATCAACACGTTCCCTTGCATGGCTGGACGCAAAGGCGGCTAAAGTGTAGTGCGCAGGCACTACAATAGGGCTTGTAGCTGACCTTAAGAAGACAGCTAGCTCGTGACGTCTAAGAGGTTATGCGGTTAAGACGCTGATCGAGCGCGAAAACTTCTTACTAGTAACAAAGAAAAGCAATTTATCAGCAAAATAGCATACGTAAACTAGAAGTGTCTGTGAATACCTCAAGATTGGGGTCGGCGATAACGCCGGCACCGGTGCGGGCCACAGCTCAATTGCGCCAAGAAAGCGAGAGCCACGAGTGTGCGACTTTCAGGAAAATCGGATTGAGAAGGCGAAAGATGATTACTTTTATTGACCATTTGGTATTTGTATCATGAAATGTGCATCTAATGTAGAGAGCGCTTTATTTGTGGGTCACGTAGCAACGTAACAAGTGAGACCACTTGCCCAGGAACGTGACCAACGCGAAGAGTTCTTGATCGTAGAACGAGTATTTCTGCTGGGTTGGTGTAGTGCACAGACACTACAATGGGGCTGGTTAGTGCTCTAGAGAGGATAGCTAGCCAGCGACCTACGAGGGGTCGCAAGACTGGACGGGGACAGGGCCCTCTTAC